CTTAAAGAAGAACTCAGGGCACATTTTTTTATTAACCCTCACAGAGGGGCTACCCCACACCGCAAGGGTTAAGTGCTCGTATTTTTTTAAGTGCAAAAAAAAAGTTATACGCACCTGAGCCAGCTCCCTGCTTCTCCAGTCTCCAAAGCCTGTCTTCTTCTATGCTGCAGCATTGGAATGTTCCTCAGTGTCCTGTACACTGTGTATGGACATGACGATTTACGGGAACTGAGACTTCTGCAGTGGAGGGGGAGCGAGGATGGAAGGACTGGCCTAAGAGCAAGTCAGCTCAGAGGATCTGGTGAGTATAACTTTTTTCCCCTAGACAAAAACGAGCAGTTAACCCTTGCAGTGCCGTGTTAGCCCCACTGTAAGGGTTAATAAACGTTTTGCCCATCATCAAGTTTTAATCACACACACTGCGATAAAAAATCTAAACATTTCCCTTTAAGATGCCAAATCATGATCTGTCCGGGGTCACACATCCTTTAGCACTGAAAGTGTATGTACATGCTGACAATGATTTGCTCCGTTTTAAATTATTTGCTCCGTGCTTTTATATGCTCCCTTTTGGTCTGTTAAATATCCTATTTAAAGCATTTTTGACAACATTCTTATCAGAAATTCAGAGTTGTCTTGTGTCCTAGTATATCTCAAAGGGGCCTTCTAGTTCTTATCTTGGGCTACAAAATTATAGTCCTTTATAATGTAGAGATATGAGAGTAGGGTTGAGCAGTTTAATAAAAGTAACTGGGTAGGGCTGACACCACTTCGTCCAAAGAATGTTGTGTGTTTTCAGCCCATAACAGGACTTAAGAGCTGAGTGCATTTCTGGCAGATCACTAGATATTGTAGTGTACTTGTACAGTTTCTAAAGGGATAACACATGGGGGGAATGTGCATGTATTGGAGGGATGTACTGCATATGTATTTTTTGTTTATTCTGCCTTGACACATGCTTTAATAGCAAATTTATATTTTCTTAGCCATTTCTTATTCAGCTGAAACAAATTAAAGTGGAATGAATAAGGAAAAGAACCACTATGAGGCTTTCCATTTTTGTATTAAAAAAAATCCCCCAGAAGGGGACTATTTTATAGCTTGTGTAAAGAAACAGGCTATGCAATAAATCTTGTTTATTCCATATATTGGGTTTTAATTTGGCAGCTTATCTAAGGCAGTCATTAGGAGGTTTAAATGGCCATTGTGCTTCAGGGAGATAAATGTTGGCCCAACAGTACTCATCTCTGTCAGACACATCAGCGTTTAACACTTCACACTCCCTCCCCCTCCCCCGCCTCTTCTCTAAGTACAGCAGTTTATAGTCAGTGCTTGCTTTCTCTACATACATGTACATGTTATTGATGAGTTATATGTACTACATCAATATTCCCTGTGGAATAAGCATAGAACTAAAGCCAAGAGAAAATGTAAAGCTTGGTAAATACATTACACATTTCACACATGAACTGAAACATCATTCAAAATATGCTAGAGAGTAACTAAGCACCTCCTACCCAAGGGATGAGGTCAGAGGAAAGCCCTGCATGTTCTTCTGAACCTGACTCTGACACACTTATGACCCTGACTTGTAAGTAGGCCACATATGCCAGCACCAATGGTGGCTATATGGTAGAGGAGGCAGGGGACAATTTTATTTTAAAGTGGAACTCAAGCCAAAATGTACTGCTGGGTAGCATAGGGAAGAGTTAGAATATATTTCATGAATTTAATGCTTTCTTTGTCCTTGATGAATACCTGTCCTGCTGCAAACTGTCAAATATTTATGCTCACTTCCTGTTTTAACTCCAAGATGGTAAGCAAGGGAATAATTATCCGGGGAGGGGGGCACAGGAATCAATAATTCTAACTCTTCCCTACATTGTTCAGTGCTCTACAAAAAGATTTAGCTAGTGTTTCATGTTACGTACAGATGGGGAATAGTTGATCTTCCATCTATATATAAGTGGCAGGAGCTGGCACATGAGCAAGTTTGGTAGCCAGTAGGGAAACCAAAGAAATTCAGCCCAGCCCTTCAACTTTATTTTTTTTAATAGAAATACACTTCCAGATTGAGCATCTTTACCATCTGACAGCGTAGTGTGATATTTGCCCATGTACAGTGCTATAATTTGACCTCACCCAAAAGCAACAGTCTGACTGCACATGTATATTTGTGTCAATGGAATTAAACAGGGTATGCTTTAATTTTTTCTAATCATTTTTCTTTAAGCTTTAAATATGTCCCTGAAAATGACAGAAATTAATAGTCCTATCTACATAGTGATATACACAGCAAATGAACTGTCAATACAGAAGGGCCTCGGTCTTAACTGAGTGTTTGCCTCCTCAGTGACCTGTATACGTTTTTTTCTGTCATTTGTAACACCGATGGAAGGAAAAAGAAACTCAGAAATATCCCAAGCACAGATACATTTATTGTTCGGGTGCACCCCACCAAGACTACACCTTCTCTAGCGCATGACAGACATAATCCTAGAGATTACTAACACTGATATGTGTAATAATATCAGTAATCTTTTCCATGTTGTCTTGGTTATACTCCAAAGATAAGCTGATGTTAAATGTCACATCGCTTAATATTCAGAACATAGATTACTAAAACCTAAACTACGCAGTCTTGTAGTAGTTTGAGATTAACTCTAATTTCAGTGCATAGCAAATAAGGGATCCCCTAAGAAATGGCAAATAAGGGATCCCCCAACAAGAGACTGTTCTCCAACTACCTAGCAACAAAAGGTCTTCTAAGTAGTTGAAGTGTAAAGGGTGATTTTAGACCAGCTAAACAAAACCATATTTACTGGATTAGTCTAGGTTCTAACAAATATGTACATTTTACCCACAAGAGTAAAAAAATAATACATAAAAAATAAATGTTTAATTTTCAATTTAGTACATAGAACAGATGACAGAGTAATTAGTAAATTTAACTAGATGCATGTTGTAATAGTAAATCACAAATCCTATTAGGGGTCTATTCACGAAGCAGCCAAAGGATCTAGCCGTAGCTTCGGCCGATCCTTCGGCTAGCTTCGGCCCCAGGACCCCTTCGGTTCAGTAGAACCGAAGGGCTGCTGTACGGGCTATTCACAATAGCCGTACAGCTCCCGAACTTAGCCGAGCGGCTCAGTCAAACCGAAGGCATATGCATATGTGATCTTACGGCTGGCTCCGGTCACCTGCAGAGAGATCAGCGTCCCTGGTTACCAGCTAACCAGGGACACTGATCTCCAGACAGCAAACTCTCCTGGGCGCTCCGGGAGTCTCCCGCTCCCGGCCGCCCAGGAGAGAAACTGATTTTTCTTTTTTTTTCTTTATTCTGACACGGAGCCGTGTCAGAATAGAAAAAAATAAATAAATAATTTTTGCCCATAGGAATGCATTGCTAGATTCCTATTGGCTATTTCAATTTGCAATAGCCAATAGTGAGCTAGCATTGCACCCGCCCTCTGCTGATGGACCTGATGGAGAACTGCAGCAGAGGGCGGGTGCAATGCTAGTTTACTATTGGCTATTGCACATTGAAATAGCCAATAATCATTGTTTCTCTCCTGGGCAGCCGGGAGCGGGAGACTCCCAGAGCGCCCAGGAGAGTTGTTTTTTTTAGTTTTTTTATTCCGCCCAGGAGAGAAACTGATTTTTCTTTTTTTTTCTTTATTCTGACACGGAGCCGTGTCAGAATAGAAAAAAATAAATAAATAATTTTTGCCCATAGGAATGCATTGCTAGATTCCTATTGGCTATTTCAATTTGCAATAGCCAATAGTGAGCTAGCATTGCACCCGCCCTCCGCTGATGGACCTGATGTTATTCACTCACTGCTGTTCGGCATCTATAAGAATAGACCAAACAGCAGCGAGTAGCCTGCCGGAGATTCGGCTTAGCCGATCCAGATGTTGGATCTGGATCGGCTGAGTTGAACTCCTCCTGCACTTCGTGTCGGCCGAACTTGCTGAGCATGTTTGGCTGACCCGAAGCCACGTGAAGCCACCCGATGTACGGCTGATTTCAGCCGATATATGGCTGAAATCAGCCGTACCTGCCTGAAGTGAATAGACGAACAGCGTTCGGCTCAATTCACTTCAGATCGGTCCTTCACTCGGCTGCCTACGGCAGCTTAGTGAATAGACCCTATGTATGGCAATAAATGGTGGAATTAAAGAATTTAGCTAAATTCTGAGCTTGCAACGTACTAGAAGAGAAACACAATTTTATTTTGAACTACAACCTTTAGTTTTTTTTAAATGCTGTCCAGAGGTCCCCATTCCTCTAATAGTTATTCATAGAAGAAGAATGTAAAGATTAGTGGCAATATGCTGTCACTAGCCCCCTAATCCTTCTGTAAGACTATATAGAAAATGCTTTTCAGAAGAGGAAACCAGGAAGTTTACCTGACAGTAAAAGGGAAGGGGGCAGACAACAGAAAAAAAAGACCTGTCAAGGGATCATATCCTGATTTCCTTCATCCAAATCTAACAGAACAATTTGACGGAGATGCTCTTTAAAGTAGGACTGGAACAGCAATGTATTCCAGTGCCTTGTTCAGAGTTTAGGAGCTACTTCTTACCTTTAGAAGTTGACTCAAAAAAGACCTTTGCATTAGAATCAGTAGATTATTGCACACTACCACACAACACATTACTGTGCGTTACAGTGAGGGAGGTGCATTGCTTTGCCCACTCATTTAAAACGGCACCCCAAACGAACAATCAAGCACAATGCGCTTGACTGTGCCACTCAACTCATTCCCTCATTGTTTAATATAAAACTTTTAATAGAAGAAGGGATATTGTAGCAGCTTGCAGAGACTTAAGCTTGTATTGCATACAAGTAATGGTCTTGCAGCTTTGTGCCTTTCATGGTACCAGTAGATATCTTTTCATACGCATGTCATCAGGACACGAGCTACCATGTAGTAAACTATACTGGACGTACTATTCATGTACTATGTTTGTAACTGTTTATCTTATTTTCGTCAGGACTGAAAACCATTGTCGGAGCCCTTATCCAGTCAGTTAGGAAGCTGGCAGACGTTATGATCTTAACAGTTTTCTGTTTGAGCGTGTTTGCCTTGATAGGGCTACAACTCTTTATGGGCCACTTAAAACAAAAATGTGTTCGAAATTTCACATCTTACAACCAAAGCATAGGTGACAGCCTTTACTGGAGTAACTCGACATGGGAATCTTATGAGGACTTCATTCATGATGAAAGTAAGTTCCTGTTCTGCTATTCAAATCTTTTATAAAGTGTTGTTTTTTCAATTTCTTGGTTGAAACTGTAATGTAGTTAACTGATAAAAAGCTGAAAGGTTTTGCATATGCTCAGTTGTTGTCAGTTTACAGCTAATGCTAAGGTATCTTTTTATTCAAAAGTTAAAATTGGAAATGGTGATTGCTTTATAAAAGTGTAAGTAAACTATACAGATTACAATCTGATTGTACAATCGCCTTTAGATCTATCGACAACCAGAGATGGGTTTCCCTTTAGGCACAGTAGGTGTGTGCCTATAGGCTGCAGTGGCAAAGAGGCATCTTTTCTTATATATTTACTAGCCACACATATTTCTCCATCATCTGCAGTCTTCTCAC